CACCTCTCTGACCCCAGACGTCTCACCTGTCGAATGGGTACACTAGGGAACAGCACTCACTCTATGAAGCCACCATGAGGACGAAAGAGCCAATCATCTACACTGCCAGTGTAGAACGGGCGCCCGGTAAGTGCTCAGGGATGACCCTCCTCGGTAGCTGCCCAGTGGCCAACACCAGCCACAGCATAGCCACTGTCCCCAAGTCAGCCTGGAGGGAAGAGAGCAGGTCGCACTCACCTGATTCTGATGAATCAGTTGGCCTGCGTTATGCCTCTCAGGTAGAAAACCTTCGAGTCCACAAAACTGGTCCCAGATTTGTCTCTTATACACATCTAGATGTGTATAAGAGACAGCCTGTCATCCCACCTACTTCGGGAGGCTGAGGCAGGAGAATCCCTTGAACCTGGGAGGCAGAGGTTGCAGTGAGCCGAGAAGGTGCCATTGCACTCCAGCCTCGGTGACAAGATTGAAACTCTGTTAAAAAAAAAAAAAAAAAAAAATACTTGAGACTGAGTAGTTTATAAAGGAAAGAGGTTTAATTGACTCACAGTTCAGGGAACTTACAATTATGGCAGAAGGCGAAGGGGAAGCAGGCACCTTCTTCACAAGGCGGCAGGAGGGAGTGAGTGGAGAACGAGGAAGTGCCACACTTTGAAACCATCAGCTCTCCTGAGAACTCCCTCACTCTCAGGGGAGCAGCACGGGGGAAACTGTCTCCAGATCCAATCCCCTCCCATCAGGTTCCTCCCCTGACACAGGAGGGATGAGTTTTGGGTGGGGACACAGATCCAAACCTATCAGGGTCTCAGCCTGTCTTGCAGCTCCCCGGGGCTGAGGCTGAGTACAGATCTGCTGGCCCTGATCTACAGCACCGGGGACTCTGCCTGTGCGCCCCCATCTGCTGCTTCCTGGGGTGGTGGCTGCTAGCTCAAGAGGAGTTGGATCTGCTCTCCTACCTACCCCTCTCCAGGGCCTTGTGGTGCCCTGGCCACATCCTCCCAGAGTAAGGGCAGGAAACTGGGCTCCTTGCTCTTCTTGTTGCTTGGGTAACCATCCTGGGGTCATTCGTAGGCCCCATCACTGTTTCTCCTTCTAAATGGAGAGCATTTTGGCAAATCTTCCCAGTAGAGGCCGGGGACTCATCCCTGTTATTTGTTCTAGCTTGGTAAAGCCAGGTGAAGACATCTGGGCAAGCAGAAAGTAGAGTGGCCCCCAGGAAGGGTGGGTGGAGAGTACTAGCCTTTGGGCTTTCCTGGACCAGCGTGTGAGGGGCAAGATTATCAGCAAGTAAGGTTGTCAGGGCTAACATCAGGAGGCAGTAATAATGCTGGTGTGGGGACGGCGGTGTGGCTGGCTTGGTGTGGGGCATGAGAGCCAAGCTTTGTCAGCTCGCAGAGAGGTGCCTGACCCATGAACTAGCGGCTGTGGAACCCAGTGGTTGCCCTTAGTTCCTGGATCCTGGGAGACTTCTGGAACCTGGGCCTGGGGCAGCCTAGGGGTGGAGGTGGTGGGTGACGGGGTAGGGGTCTCTGCTTCTCTCTTTCAGTAAGAGGGAGAACCAAGAAAGGCACTGAAGCATGGTCTGCAGAGAAGGCACTTGTGCAATCACCAGGAGAATGAGGGGCCTGAGTTGTCTTCATTTCTCCTAAAAACATGCATTCTCTCCCAGGACACCCTGGTGAGGGCATGAAGCACAGGGTATGTGTGTGCGTGTGTGTGCATGTGTGTGTGCGTGTGTGCATGTGTGTGTGCATGTGTGCATGTGTGTGTGCATGTGTGTGTGCGTGTGTGTGCATGTGTGCGTGCGTGTGCATGTGTGTGTGTTGCAGGGCTTTACAGTGGACAGGATGTGGGAAGGCAGCTGCAGTTCCAAGCTGCGAGTCTTTCTCAGAGAATGGTTAAGATTCCCTGGACCACAGAAAGAGTGTTTTCATTTGCACCCATTTTTATTAGCATTTAAATCTGCATTATTTGTAGCAGGTAAACCTTAAGTTGTTTAACTATTTTTAGAAACATTTACACCAGCGGTCCCCAAACTTTTTGGCACCAGAGACCAGGTTTCTTGAAGACAACTCTTCCATGGACCCGGGAGAAGGGGAAGGGATGATGCGGAGATGATTCAAGCCCATTACATTCATTGTGTGCTTTATTTCTATTATTATTTCACATATATTTCTATTATTATTTCATTCCATCTCTCCACCATCTGTGGGCTAACAGGCTGTGTTAGTTTTCTAGGGCTGTTTTACAGGACCACAGACTGGGCACCCTCAACAACAGATCTTACTGTCTCGCAATCCTGGAGGCCATGACTCCACCCTCAAGGTGTCAGCAGGGTGGGTCCCGCTGAGGCGGTGCAGGAAGGCTCTGTTCCAGGCCTGTCTCTTGGCGTGTGGGTGGCCGTCTTCTCCCTGTGACTCTTGGTTAAGTGTGACTCTGGTACGGGCTCAGAAGAGGAGAGCCGGACAGAATGTCGGTAGCATATGGAGGGAGTCGGGCCTGGTGTCTCATGCCTGGAATCTTAGCACTTTGGGAGGCCAAGACGGGAGGATCGCTTGAGGATGAGACTTCAAGACCAACCTGGCCAACATAGGGACACTCAGTCTCTTAAAAAAATAAAAACATGGAAGGAAAAAATCATCCAGATGAAGTCTCAGATGGCAATGAAGAAAATGTTACTGGAAACTGGAGGAAAGGTGACGCTTGTCATAAAGTGACAAAGAACTTGGCTGCATTGTGCTCCTAGTGTTTTCTGGAAGGCAGAGCTTGCGAGCGATGAACCTGAAATTTGAGAGAAGAAATATCTAAGCAAAGTATTGAAGGAGTACCTTCATTCTCTTGAATGTTTCTAGGAAAATGAAAGAAAAGAGGAATGATTTAGAGACAGAACTTATAATCAAAAGGGAAGTAGAACTTAAAAATTTGGGAAATTTTTAGCCTTCTCAGCCTGTCCATATTGAACAGATAAGAAAGTGTGTT